ATATATATATATATATATATATATATATATATATATATATATATATACACACACACACACACAGATATAGTTACAAACAGAGAGGGAGGCAAACCATAAGAGACTTTTAAACATGGAGAACTAAGGGTGGAAGGGAGTGGGGGAATGGGGGGTAGGGGAAAATGGGTGATGGGCATTGAGAAGGACACTTGTTGGGATGAGCACTGGATGTTGTGAGTGATGAAACACAAGCCAAGAGCATACCATAAACACTGTAGGTTAGCTAACTTGACAATAAATTATATTAAAAAGAAAAAAGAGGGGCACCTGGGTGGCGCAGTCGGTTAAGCGTCCGACTTCAGTTCAGGTCACGATCTCGCGGTCCGTGAGTTCGAGCCCCGCGTTGGGCTCTGGGCGGATGGCTCAGAGCCTGGAGCCTGTTTCCGATTCTGTGTCTCCTTCTCTCTCTCTGCCCCTCCCCCGTTCATGCTCTGTCTCTCTCTGTCTCAAAAATAAATAAACGTTAAAAAAAAATTAAAAAAAAAAAAAAGAAAAAAGAGCAGCCTAACCCAATGATGGAGCTTAAAGGACAACCAAACCATATGGACACTGACTTGGTAGTGTGCAACTATATTTAACAGGGGCAGGTTTAGATCTAAAATGCTGCACTTTAATGAAATGAATGGGGAGACACCTGATGGCCCCATGTATTAGGATAAGGGAAAGTAGAATGAAAGCTTCAGCTTGAATATAAAAGAATGTGTTCTTACAGACCTGTCACTGTCGTTAAATTCTTCAAGGTCTAAGAAGTAATACAAATCATCCAATTTGTATTCAACAGATGCCAAAGATGGTGCTCAATACATGATTCATCTCCTCCATTTATCCATTAGTAAGGAGTCCTTAGATCTTAGGTAATTGAACCTAAGTGACTTAGAGAAATTAGATGCTTTATGAAATGGAAACTCAAATGAGAACTACTTCATCTTCTCTCAGAAGCCTTCACCTATACGACCCCCATTCCACATCCAGAAGAAAAAAAGATCCCTTCTTTCCTTGCATTTTCAGAGCTCTTTCTGTGCATACCTTGTGTTATAATTTTACCTTTTTATACTATTTCTTCTATAATGGTGTAAAAAACTAGAGCCCAGAGGCCAAATTTGACCCACTGCCTATTTTTGTATAGCCCACAAGAAGAAGATGTGTTTTACATGTTTTAAATGGTTTAAAAGAATATTTTAATAACTTATAAAATTCAAATTTCAGTGTTCATAAACTAAGATTTATTGGTACTAGCCACACTCATTCTTTTATGTGTTGTCTATGGCTGTTTTAGTGCTGCAATGGCAGAGTTGAGTAGCTGTGATGTAGACTACATGGTCCCCAAAGCCTAAAATATTTACGAACTGGTCAATTACAAAAAGTTTCCCAACCCCTGTCCTACAATACTACTTCCTGAGCAATGGCCATATCTAAACACTACTTTTATACCCTCAATGCCTACTGCAGTGTCTTCAACAAAGTTGATACTCACGGAATGATCATGTGTGACTTTATTTTAGAGAAGGCTAAGAACAAAGATAAAGTTGGTCATATCAGAGGGAAAATTTGACCATTATGACCCTGTAATTTATACTGCATGAAATTCCAGAGAATGGCATCCACAGCTAATGGGGCACGTTCTCCTAGACCCCACATGGGTTTTAACCTTCACCGTTCCCACACCTCTTAGTCCTGCCTTCCCTCTTCTACATTCTCCGCAATGGGCACCTCTTCTTGTTTCACAGAGAAAACAGGTGTCAGTGAAAACCCTTCATCTCCTGATCATTAACTCCCAAATACAAATCAACCAAATATGAATTAAAGACTCAACGGAGAGACAAAGGGACAAAAGGAGGGCACCATTTTGAGGTTCTTGAAGAAAGTCAGAAGATTCACAATTATCATATTATTTCTCCTCTATCTCCCACAAATTCCATTTAATCATTTCTCCCCCTTTTATTTTACTGAGGTTTATTGTCAGAGGTGAGGTATACTCACAGATGATGCTAACTCACTAAATTTACAAAGGTTGAGGGGCGCCTGGGTGGCGCAGTAGGTTAAGCGTCCGACTTCAGCCAGGTCACGATCTCGCGGTCCGTGAGTTCAAGCCCCGCGTCGGGCTCTGGGCTGATGGCTCGGAGCCTGGAGCCTGTTTCCGATTCTGTGTCTCCCTCTCTCTCTGCCCCTTCCCCGTTCATGCTCTGTCTCTCTCTGTCCCAAAAATAAATAAACGTTGAAAAAAAAATTTTTTTTTTTAATTTACAAAGGTTGAGTAGGGCCTTGTGTTTGTGTGTTTGAGCTGGGGGATATACAAGAAGGCTTTTAATATGGAGACTTGAAAGTAACATCTGCACAGCAGACTGACCTATCCTGATAACCCCAAATCCACATCAAAGCTGCATTATTTTTCTTATTTTTTATTTTTTTGTAGGGGAGAGTGGGCAGAGGGAGGGAGAAAATCTTTTTTTTTTTTTTAATGTTTCATTTATTTTTGAGAGAGAGACAGAGCATGAGTGGAGGAGGAGAAGAGAGAGATGGAGACACAGAATCCAAAGCAGGCTCCAGGCTCTGAATTGTCAGCACAGAGCCCCATGCAGGGCTCGAATCCATGAACCGTGAGATTATGACCTGAGCCGAAGCTGGACACTTAACCGACTGAGCCAGCCAGGCGCCCCAAAGGGAGGGAGAGAATCTTAAGCAGGCTCTGTTCCCAGTGCAGAGCCCAACTTGGGGCTCAATCTCATGACCATGAGATCATGACCTGAGCCAAAATCAAGAGTTGGAGGTTCAACCAACTGAGCCACCCAGGTGTCCCTAAGCTGCATTATCTTTCACTGATTGCCTAAGGAAACTTTTTCTTACATGAAGTATGTCTTTGATGTTTTATACATTTATCTCATTGCTTATTTGCTTATTTTGTTTCTAAAGTTTCAGAGAAAAAGTTCACTGAATTTTCAGAATTAGAGAATTTTTACCTTTGAATGAATGCTAATGTATACACAATAAATTAGCAGTAACTAGATCTCAGATTTTTCTTAGCCAATAATGTCATTGTCTACAAACAACACTTGGTTTAACCTTATCAGGGTAAAAGAAAAATTTTAGTTGATATTTCTCCACCCAATTATTATCTCCACTCAATTATTTCCATTACTCAGATAGTCTTTATATCCAATAGTAGGTCTAGCACAAAAAATCTTCATCAGCTTTGATAGCAACTTTCTTCTTCGAACAATGACTCAATTACTAAATATGGCTACATATACTTACATTTTAAGTGAGTCTTCAAATTGACAATGATTTTGTTCCCAATGGAAATATGATAATCTTTTACAAAATGTGGATGAATAAAAACCTGTGTTCCAAGGTAAGACTCATGAATAGGTCACTGATCACAATGTGACTAATCAAAACAGTAAATTGCATTGTCTTCAATTACTCTCAGTAATTGTAAATGGTAAATGCTATTGTCTCAATTACTGCATATGAATGAAAACTGAGTAAGGGTGAGAAGTTCACTCCTCTACTCCACTGAACACGCTGCTGTGACATAAAAATATACCCACAGCCCACACCCCAACCCAACCACTCAACCTCCTACCTAGCATCACCAGGACATGTATCATCATCTCCTTCCTGGTTGCTAGGACAATGCAGGTGATGCCTGCCATATCTGAGTTAAGTGAAAGAACTCACAGGCAAAGCTCCTTTCTCTAACTAATGCTCAGGATTCATCAAGTTGCCAGTTTTGATGTTAATCCAGATAACTGCCCTAGTAGTTTCTGCCAGGCACCCTTCACCTCCTTATTTCTTACACTATAAATCATAGGGTTCAACATGGGTGTCAAAACGGCATAGAAGAGAGAGATCAACTTCTCCTGAAGAATAGAGGGGCTGGAGCGGGGCTGGATGTAAGTGAAAATGGCCATGCCATAGCACAAGACAACCACTGCGAGGTGAGACGCACAGGTGTAGAAGGCTTTCTTTCTTCCCTCTGTGGACTGGATCTTCAGGATGGTGGAGATGATCTGGATGTAGGACAAGAGGACCAGGCAGAAGGGTGTCATCAGCAAGACAATGCTAGAAACCATGATTATGATCTCATTGGAGGAGGTGTCCACACAGGCCAGTCTGACCACAGCTAAAATTTCACATGATATGTGATCAATATACTTGTTTATGCACATGGGCAGCTGAAAGGTGATGGCAGTATGAATGAGAGAGTTGAGAGAACCACTGACCCAGGATGTGATGGCCAACCTGGTACAGAGCCCTCCATGCATGATGACCGAGTATCGCAGGGGGTCGCACACAGCCACATAGCGGTCGTAGGCCATCACTGCCAGTAGAACAAACTCAATCCCACCCCAGCCTAGAGAGAAAAATAACTGGGCTGCACAGCTCACAAATGGGATTGCTTTATGTTCTGCAAGAAGATGCACTAACATCTGAGGAATGATGCTTGTGGCATAAGAGACATCAACAAGGGAGAGGTTGGTGAGAAAGAAGTACATGGGAGTGTGGAGTCTGCTGTCCAGGCAGATCAGAGCAACAATAAGGAAGTTTCCCAGCACTGTCACCAAGTACATGACTAAGAACAAAACAAAGAGAAAGACCTGCACATACAAGTCACTGGACAGGCCGAGGAGAATAAATTCTCTCACCCATGTCTGGTTATCTGTTTCCATTAAAAATATGTGAGAATCATTAATCTGCAAAAGGTCAGAGATAAGAGAATCTGTTGAATCAAAGAACCATTTTAGTGAATACATACTGTATGCAATTGGCTAGCCTTTACCAGATGTTTCAGACTATTCGCAGGCCAAGATGGAAGGTTTTATCCCAACATATCCACTCTGCATCAGAGTCAGGCCAGAACCTTCATAAGGACAGGAAGTGGTCTCAGGGAGACCCTGTTAAAGCCTGGAGATAATGTAGTGCAATTCTAGGAGCTCACATCTTACAAACTTACCTCAGATTCCAGAGCAAGTAGACTTTGGTAGGTGACAATGGTAGGTAAAGTGATAAACAATGAAGAAAATTTGGTTGGAAAGTTTTTTAAAGCTACTTTACATACGTCAACTAATCCCATCATAATGAAAAATGGTACATTTATTACAAAAGGAAATATTGGGAAAAGTCAGATCCTTGTGGAAAGATCTGGAATCAGAGAACCTAGATTTTTAAAATTGATTTTATTTATTATTTATTTACAGCTATGCGATTTGGGCTAGGTGACAAGCTTTTATACATGAAACAGAGGCATATCATCCCACTCACAAGTACATTTAAGCTCAAACGTAGGTAACTTATGAGGAAAGTACTTTGAGAACCATTACTAGTAGTAGAGGAAGTAGAGGAAGTATTAGTAGTAGCATGACCTCTGCCTTGGAGTAGATAAGGTAGTAAACATTATTTTCTCCACACATCCCCTCCACAAATTCAAACATAAATAAAATTGGAGGCAATCTTCCACAAAACTGAAGGTTCAGGAATGGACGGGAGGGCTTTGAAGACTTTTTGCTTTTTGTTATTGCCCTTAATCCTCTTGGCCTTTGGTCTCTCAGCCCTCAGTGGGATCAGAGAGGGAAAAGTATTGTAATGGTATCTTGTTCTTTTTATTTTTCTCTTTTCAATTTACCGCTACTAATCATTTAACCTTTGTAGGTGGGCTCAAAAGAAAGCAAAGAAGACTTGATACAGAGAGGAAAGAAACACAAATGTTTAAGGATTCTTCTTCATTGTCCAAGGCAGAAAAGAAAGTATGAATTCGCATAGATGTACATTGGAATGGAGTTTCCTCCTATTTCCCCCTGAAGGAGTGCTTTTTCAGTAGAACTAATTTGTTATTATTATGTCATTTTTGAACATTAAAAAGGGATACATAAGATTTAAAAAATATTTTGAACCACTGCCTGCTCACAACTTCACTTTTCTTGCAGCCTACAACATAAGGGAAAATAGTAACTAAAGGCAGCAAGAGAGATTGAGGGCAGAGATAGCTGCCCGCCCATCCCAAACCCACGCAGATGTCAGATTAGGGTCACTGAGCAGAAAGATGAAGACTATCTATGCTTTAATTCTCTTACCTCTTAAACAACAAAACAGAACAAGTAGTCCCAGGAACACCCTACTCATTCGTGATTCAGACACGTGCATTTTCATAAATTTCTTTAATTACCTTCTCGAAACTTGATCCATTCCTTCAACAGTTCCTTCTTTCCTGCTTATAATACTTCCTCAACCACCCTTCACTTTGCTTTTCTTTAATCATGATTAGTCTGAGAAAACATTTACTTGCCTCAAAACCAGTGTTGAACAATTATTACAGTTAAGAGTCCTATTGTGCTCTCTCTCCAGTATAAATTTGTTTGTGTTCTCTTCTCATTATTCGTTACAACTTTGGCTACCTTACCTTTTTGCCAGGTACCTAATGCTCCTTTAATATACAATAAAATCTGAAAGGCAGTCAGCAAGGGGGCAGAATAGGACTTTGTCTCATCCCATGGATGCTCTAAATAAGCACCTACATACAGATCCATTCCAAGAGAAATGCAAAAAGGAGTGGGGCAACTCCTACTCATAGGATGACAGAAAATACCCAGATCAAAACAGGTAGACACATTAGTGAGACACATCAGTGGCACAATCTCCACTACTAGTACAGTTCCTTACAACTGGGAGAGAACCCACAACTCCCAGCTTGTCTCTGAGGATTAAAGTAATTGGACCACATATCCAGCACCTTAATTTTTGTGGCTGTCACTTGAGGGACTGACTCCTTAGCTATGTGATCCAACAGGACTCAGCATTCAAGAGTCCCCCAGGTCCACAGAAAATAAAGACACATTTATCTTACACATATACAAAAATAAACTCAAAATGAATTAAACACTAAACTCTAAGGCTTAGAAACTCCTAGAAGAAATTATAGGGAAAACACCCCTGATATTGGTCTAGGCAATGATTTTTTTTAATTGACACCAAAAGCTCAAGCAACAAAAGCAAAAATAAACAAGTAGGATTACATCAAATTAAAAACTTTTTAACAGCAAAGGAAACAATCAACAAAATGAAAGGGTAAGCTAGGGATTGGGAGAAAATATTTGCAAACCATATATCTGGTAAAGGGTTAATATCCAAACTATATAAAGAATGCATATAACTCAATAGCAAAAGCAACAAATGACCAGATTTTTCAGATTAGCCAAGTCCTGAGCAGACATTTTTTTCAAGAAGACATACAGATGGCCAACAGGCATATGAAAAGATATCTCAACATCACCAATAATCAGGGAAATACAAACCAAAACCAAAATGAGATACCACCTTACCTTTGTTAGGATGGCTATTATCAAATAATAAATAGCAAGCGTTGGCAAGATGTGGAGAAAAGGGAACCCTTGTACATGTTTGTGGGAATGTGAATTGCTACAGCCAACATGGAAAGTAGTACGGTATTTCCTCAATAAATTGACAATAGAACTACCATGTGATTCGGCAATCCCACTTCTGGTATTTATCCGAAAGAAATGAACTCAATACCTTGAAGAGATATCTGCACTCCCATGTTCATTGCAGCATTATTCACAACAGCCAAGATATGAAAACAGTTAAGTATCTGTTGAATGGATAAAGAAATTGTGATATATATGCATACAATGGAATATTTTTCAGCCTTAAAAAAAAACGATCCTGCCATTTGCAACAACCATGAAAGAACCTGGAGGTCATTACACTGAATGAAATGAGCCAAATACAGAAAGAGAAAAACTGCATGATTTCACCTATATGTGGAATCTAAAATGTCAAATACATAAGAGAGAGTAGAAAGGTAGTTACCAAGGGAAGAGGAAATGAGGAGATGTCGGTTATAGGGCACAAAGTTGTAGTTTTTTTAGGATGAATTGGTCTTGAGATCTAATGTACATCATAATGACTATAGTCATTATGGAAATTTGCTAAAAGAATTGATTTTAGGTCCTTATCACACATACACATAAAAGGTAACTACATGAGAGAATATGTTAATTACCTCAAGAATAGTAGTCATTTCACTATGTATATGTATATAAAATCTTCATGTTGTACACCTTAAATACAATTTTTATTCTACAAAATAACAGACATACAGACAATAAACCCTAGTTTACATTCTTTGTGTTATTTCATGCACATGCTCAACAAACCCCAAGCCACATCTCTCTATGTATGTTTTGAGTTTTGTCTACTCAAAAACAAAGAATCCATGCTGCCTACTCAGGGCATCGTATTAAACAATATACCCCCGCGATTCCTCCTTGGACAAGAGCACTAATAAAACACAATATGTGATATGATAGATACCATTGAAATAGTCCATGAAAAATTATCTTCTTAAAGCACTGCCACTAATGCCTGAAATCTATTTGTTTTATTTTGATCCCTGTCCTTTTAATGAAATGGTTAAAAATGAAATATTTTTTTAAAATAAAATAATATGATATGGGAGTTTTATATGAAGTACCTAACCTTGTTGTAAACTGACCCTTGAAAATGAGTCATGTAAGAGTACAAAACTGTAAGTTTTGGTGTGAATGACACTGAAGTTGTGAGAAAAGTTAGGTCTGGACTACAGAGGCAATTTTTTTTCATTTAAAATATTACCATTGTTGGACTCTAGCTAAAAGTACCTCCATGTATCTTCTCATAATACCCAGTAACTATCAGTTACTGCAGATAACAGGATAGAAATGTTCTTATCTCTATGACAAAGAAATTTAAAAAATAAAAAAAAAAAGGTGTTGAGATTTCTCAAAAAATCCCTTTCTTTTACATGACACAATACACCTAACTTAAAAGTTAAATTTTAGTCAATCATTACGATCTTTCTTTAAGTAAAGCAAATTTGTTCATTGATCTTATGGAAACTGTTATATTTTCTGCATCATAAAAATTGAAATGAACAGGTTAAATGTTATTTTTCAACCTATTCTATCTCCATAAAGTGAACCACAATTATTTTTCCTATTTTTAATCTCCTACAACCTTATAACACCTTCAGCTGAAAATATCTGTCACTTGAACAAGATGAAGAGGGAAAAATTCTGACAATGCTTCCTGCTGATGTTAAAACCAGGACTGGTCTTTATCTCCATGGGGTGGATAAAATTTAGCTTTGGTTTATTCCTGCCTCCCTTTATCTGAGTCTGTCTTCTAACATTTCATTTATGAACAAATACTTTCATCCCATCTCTAACTCTACATCAACGTCTGCCCTCCAGTAAAATGGCCCATGTTCTAAACTGCCCCTGCTTCTCCCCATCTTAAAAAGAATATCAACAAAGTCAAGATCTTAAATTAAATATATTTTTAATGGTAAATTCTCAGGCAGTGATTTTTAGTAATATTTGTTGTAAACATCTGGGTATTTTGAGTCTTAAAAATGAAGCATCTCCCAACTATTATAATTTACTTAAATTCTGACCAGTGGACCTCTCAGATGGGAGCCCTTTTCATTCCAACCTCCCTATAGTTCTGCAGTATGCCTGAGAGAAAGGGTATTGCCCTGAGTAGCAATTCTCAACATAAAGTACCCTTTTAGCCTTTCAGCGCATCCTCCTCATATTCCTGCTCTAATTGTATTGATATAGCCTTGAGGAATTATGAGGACCTTCTTATCAAGAAAAAGATGAGTAACCTGACCCAT